GTAGGGGGTTTACAATACATGTCGTGACCACTGAGCACACTTTTTGCCTCGTGTTTTGTTTCTCAAAATGTAATATGTATAGCCCTAATCATGTGTAGGCCTATCTAACACAGGGGCAAAGGTACTAAAAATGAAATTTTGTTTTTGTGCAACCCAAATTCACAGTAGGGAAACAGCAGCTTAGCTTTTCCATGCCAAAGCTAGCGCATTAAATTCTCATCCTTCTGTCATTCAGACTCAAATTATAACTGTTCCTTGTTGTAAACGTGTTTTAGGTAGATTTGTAGAGAGCTTCGCTGCAGCTACTTGGACTCTCCTAACACTAAGCGATTCCCTTATTCCTTGAAATTCGATTAATTGCAAATGATATTATTGAAACATAAAAATATTTTTTTTTAAACTACAAGAGGAGAATCTTTCGGCTAAAGCTCATTCCTTTCTTCGAGGTGTGCTATTCGATGAATATGAACATCAATGACGTGATAACTGCCATTTGGGAAAATGGAAAGTCTCCCTTCGGAAACAAAAATAATAGAGGGATAGAAAAAAGTGTGAACTACATCATGTATTGTATCAAGAAGAAGAGAGCTTCAGTAAACATCTTCACCGTAGTGTCTAGTGAAAATTTTGGATCGACACCGTAACGCTGCCACTGCCACATCATTTTTGCTTCGATTCGGGAAAATCCGAAACATCCATTGAAAACATGGCGGATATTGACAAAGTGAAAGTTCTGGTTGTTGGAGACTCAGGTAATTTATATTTAAGCTGGTTACGTCTCCAGTGTTGGAGCCAAGACTTACAAAAATTTCCACAACTGCTTACCCACAACCGAAGAGAACAGAGCTTTTACAATGAATAGGTCTAAAAGCGCCCCCAAATAAGTGCTCATAACAAAGTGTTGTCTAAAATAGTAAATAGGCTCCCTGTGTAAACCTTGTTGTTTTTCGCTTTCTTTTCCAGAAAAAACAAAAAAGACAAGACTACCCCTACACTAGATTTACTCACTGTTACTGTACAATTAAAGACGTGACTCTCTAAAGAACTCCCTCAGGACACAGTACAGTTATAAGCAGCATTGTAGTAGTAGAAGTATTAGTATGCGATTAAACGTAGAACGACGCAAACTATTTTTAGGTAAGGCGCCCTTCTTGTTTGATGTCAGACCAGGATACCCCTCCGATCACGTGACTTCATCTAAGTATAGCAAACCGCATGACACCAAAGATGAAAGTGTCTATGTGATGTTTATCAAGCTTTTAAATTTACCTCTCGCTTTCAGAAGTTCTGATGGCCGAATAGACAGCGCCGCGCGTCTGCGTTTGAAGTCATGCAATGATTTTATGAGCAGTTCGATCCCGGTCCAGGACAGTTGTTTTTTATTCTCTTCTCCTCCTCCCGACTGACCAACAGTTTGTCCCATAATTTATAATTTGTTGCTTTGGCTTTTGTAGTTGTTTTTAAAAAAAATGTGTGATGAAGAATGCAGGAGGGGGGGTGTTGATCTAGAACTAATCCTCCAGCTTCTTTACGACAATTTACGTGCGGTTTATTGTTTTTACGGTTACGTTTACAGTGTTTCAATTTCAAGCATCACCGTTCTTAATCTTACTGTTCTGAGCATCAAGGATCTAGATCTAAGCGATCTTGCATCATGTCCAAGTACTAGGTCTAAAAATCCGAAATGTTGCTGAAAACGCGTCATTCCATGCGGTACCTCCACGGCCTTCTTAAAATAGTTTGTTGGTATCGCAGGAAGTGATGACATGAAATTACTCAAATTAGCAGCCAATCAAAAAGATGCGTCTGCTACGTTTAACGGCATGTGTAGTATAGTAGTAGTAGCAATAGTGGTACTGTACAGTCTGTTGTGTAGTGCGAGTTTCCAAAGGTTAAGGCGATTGTAAAGATTCCCCCGTTTAATTTCGATGTGCGTTTTTCAGGGTTATGGTTAGGGTTAGGGTTAGGGACCAAAACGAAACATGCCTGAGGCTATGAAAAACGCACATCGGAATTAAACGCGGGAATCTTAACAATCTTTACTTTACTTTTACTTTTATCCGCTGCTTGCCCTTTTGGGTGTCGCGGGAAGAAAGAGATATGCCTCTCTGTCGCCGGCCGGAGGGCTTGGGTCAGGGGGATGCCGTGAGTGGTTAGTGTTTCCCTGACTCCATATATACAGGTCTTTCTTGGTCGCCCTCTAGCTTGTTGCCATCACATTTTTTGGTGTAGGCACGTTGTGCTTGATGGTGTGTTGGTAATCGCATGGGATCAGAACCATTTGATTCTTTGGTGTTGGATGTGTTGCATGACATTATTTGTGCCCACCATTTCTCTGATTACCGAGTTTTAATTCTGTCTCGCCTGGTCTTGTTTACACTGCTTTTCTAAGGCATCACATTTCACATGTTGTAATTCTTTGCTCTAATTATATGTCTTATTCGTGATCCATGTTTGGCATTGATAGGTGAGTGTTGGGATGAATATGATGTTGATCATTTTGAGTTTTGTTGTCATGGGGATGTTAGGATGTTTCTAGTGGAGTAAGCTGGTAACTAACATTATTCATAATTGGCCATTTTGTACTCTTGTTTCAATTTCTCTGTTTAGTCGCCCATCCTCTGCGAATACTTCCGAGGTACTTAAATTCTTGGACCTATTTGAGACTGTTGTTGATGTGTATCCTGAGTGGTCCTGGCTTTCTGCTTAATTTCATTGTCTCTGTTTTGTTGATGTTGATTTTCATGCCTCAGTTGTTACATTCTTCGTTTAATCTGGTGGTGTGGTGTTGGAGACTTCGTTCATCTTTGTGTGCCAGGCTTTGGTCATCAGCGGAGAGTAATTCATTTAGGGCGTCTGGTTCTGTGTTGGCCTCTTTTGCAATTCTGTCCATATATATGAATATGATAGATAGTAGTGGTGATAGGACACAAAACCTTGTCTTACTCTGGATGTTATCTCGAACCATTCTGTGAGTCCCTCCGACGTTCTTACTGTACTTATGCTGTTCTCGTAAATGGCACGGATGTTATCTAGAAATTGGCCTCTTACAGTCTTAACAATGGCCCAAGTTTAAACTGACTTGTGGGAAGAATTAGAGAAACTTTTAGGCTGTAGTTGGAACATTGTGGTATCAACAGTCAAAACCTTGGGTAAATTAAAAGAAAAGGTCCAAACCCACTTTAGACTATTATTCGGCATTATTTTGCCGTTTTTTTGTGTGCTGAGAACGATTTTGGCTCTAAAAACTGTCGCAAATCATTAGTTTAGCAGGGGGGAGAACCCTGTGCACCCCTCATTTTTCAGGCTACACCCCTTTTTATTGGGCTGCATATGCGCAGTATTATTGGGGAAGGAAAATGGAAACAATCAGCTTGTATTTTCTAACGCGAACAGCAGTGTTCAAACCTTAATATCTCAAAAACCATACATTTGCGAAAGTTTTGAATTACATTTCCATTTCCTAAATCAGGAGGCAAAATTACATGGGAAAAGACATGAAATCGGACATGTCATAGGATTTGTACCTTTTCAATAATAATACCAAACCCAGTTTGTATACATAGCGCTGTCCTATTACCTACACCTACACTATTAGATGAAGTTGACGGCTGAGTCCTGGACAGTGTACAAAAACATGTCGACAAACTCAACAGATTTCGCTTTCCAGTCTGCGAAGAATACTTGGGATTTTCCAATTTACTGGACCAGAGGGTCATATTATTATAATTTAACTTTCAATAAGATCCCAGACACTGATGTTTCTTATTTATGAGAAGGTGAAAGCTGCTCTGCCATCAGAAGAAAATCCAGCTTACATGGGCAAGACACTTGATCCGAATCTCAAACTGGCAAAAGGACACTGTGCAATCTGTGATGAGTTGTGATGTTTATATTACAAGTTGAAGTTTCATCCTATTATTTCCTTTACTTCACTTGCTAGCTCGCGTGGTGGCTTGCAGGATCTGTAACTTCTTTTCCGTCTTGGATGTTAGAGGTCATTATCAGTTCATAGTGATATTGTAGAAATCTATTTTAGGCCTTTATGCAGGAGGGCCAGTGACAAATACTGAATAGATGGATACTGCATTTAGCAGTTGATTTTTAAGGAAGTTGTGCAGCGTCAAATTTTGATTGCTAGTTGCCAGTACTAATACAATTTTGAAAAACCTGTCTGTTTTGTTGTTCACAGTCTGTAAACAAAAATATTTCTTTTTTTTTTCTTTGAAGGTGTTGGCAAAACTACCCTTGTGCACGTCATCTGTCACAATGAGCCCTGCTACACCCCAGCAGCCACTATAGGATCCTCAGTGGAAGTGAAGGTAGGAGAATGCCTGAATTGGCTAATACACGTACTTGTTGTAGCAAAGCAGTCATTGTTATAGTCATGGGGAAACAATTGAGAGTAAGGTGTGAATTCATTTTCCACAGCAATTGGTTATTTTTTATGCACAAAGATTTATTGTTTTAAATTACATTTCACTGGCAGGAAACTGATAGTGTGTAAAATACAATGATCCATTTGGTCAGTTTCTGTTTATGGATAGAGCCCGATTGAACATATTTTGCGATATGCTTTTGATAATTCAAGATGTTTCAGTACAGAATGCATTACTGTACACTCAAGGAACAAGTATGTAACGTAGTCTGCTTAAGATAGACCCTCAAAGAACAGCATTTTTGTGTTTATCTTGAAGGAGGATCACCTGAACCAATTATTAGTTGTCAAGATACAAAATTGGAACTGAAAATGAAGTAAACTTAAAATTTATGCTCAAAATGATCTAATTGATATGTAGATTCTGCCTCATTGAAAATTTCTCATTAAGGAAAGAAAAAATAAATATATACTGTTCTCTCTTTAACGCTTCTTCATGGAGACAAATCAGCATGTAAACTTTATGGGGATGCTGCAGAGGAAGGATGAGCAGCTATGGACGTTGGGCCAAAAAAATGACTCAGCTACCGAGTTCCCAATCGACAACCCTGTGCTCCGAACTAAGTGTTCTTGTAACTTGTTACGTTTTTCTTTTCTCTGCCAGCTCCATGAGTACAGAGCTGGGACTCCAGCTGAAAAAGATTTTTTCATCGAATTATGGGACATTGGCGGAGCCGCAAGTCACGCCAACAGCAGATCCATATTTTATCACCAGATCCATGGTTTGTGCCTTTGTCAATATCCAAGTCTTGTGTGCCAGCTTTTCTAGATTAAAGTCATTGTGGGTTTTTTTAAATCTACAGAATTGTTTGTGTTAGATAAAAGGTCTTGATAAACTCAATAAAAAAGTGAAAAATAGTTACACTAATTGTATTGATCATGAGCTGTTTCTTTTTAAAGATGGGGTGCATGAAAAATATAGTCACTGGAAAATTTTGAAGTATGTTTGCATAGAAAAATTGAGTTTAAGTAATTTGTCGACATAACTGATATTTTGGCATTTTTGATAAAGCTCCAGTTTACTCATTGCAAGCAGAAATAGTTTTTTTAAAAAGCATTCTGTTGTTATAAGAGCACTTTTTTTTTTCAATGTAACTTTCATTTTTATCTAGGTTGACAGGCTTTACTCTACACATCTATTACTATTTACACTGTGGCCTGTCTGTCTGTATTTGTATCTATTTTTATTCAGGTGGGACAAACATTTAAGTTTTATGACAATGTGGAAGAGGTCTTTATCAAATGAATTTGACCCCCCCCCCCGCCTAAAAATTATTTTTCTTTAACGTTTCTTTCCTTCAATCACTGTCTGGGATATTTCTTGTCCATGAAATGATGCATGTTTGATTACATCTGCAGGAATCATTCTTGTCCACGATCTCACCAACAGAAAGTCACATCAAAACCTTCAAAAATGGCTAGCGGAAACCTTAAACAAAGATGATGTCCGACCAAGTAATGGGTAAATAAGATAAGATAAGATACATCTTTATTGTCCCACGAGTACACACACACACACGCACACACACACACACACACACACACACACACACACACACACGCACACACACACACACACATAAACACACACACGTACACACGTGCACACACAAGTAGGCTTACAATCACATGCATAATAAAAATGAGCAGCAATATAAACAATAATAATCGTAAGCTAGATACACACTCAATGTTATTTTGATGCATGCTCTAAGGTCGTAAGTACACTAAACAAGATGGTTAAGATGGAAGCATTTTGATAGATGATGGTAAAAATGACCTTCTGTATCTTTCTTTGTTACAGATCAGAAGCATGGGTCTTTTACTTCTGACTGATGTTTTTATTTGAGGGAACAAGGGATGTTTGTTGTCTAAAAAGATGGAATTAATTTTCTTAGTGCAAGCTGTTATGTACAATTCATCCAAGTAGGGGAATGAAGATGTTGAAATTTTACATGCTTTCCGTATTAGTCGATTTAATTTTTCTTTATCTTGTTGTCTTGTGTTCCCGGCCCATGCTGTTATACAAAAATTGATCATATTTTCTATGGTTGAATGGTAGAACATGGACATCAATGTTTTATCAACTTTAAAATACTTTAACTTTCTTAGAAAAAATAGTCTTTTGTTCACTTTTTTATGCAGGAGAGAAGTGTGGACACGCCAGTTGAGTTTGTTGTCTATTGTAACACCCAAATACTTATAGTCTGACACTTGCTCGATGTTTTCACATTTCATTTTGAGTGGCTGCAGGGGCAGTTTCTTTATTCTAAAATCAACGACAAGTTCTTTTGTTTTTTTCACATTTAAAAGCAGCTTTTGATTTTCACACCATTCAGAAAAATTAAGTACAAAATTCCGGTAAGCGGTTATTCTCTTATTAAATTTGTGATCAATTATCTGATTTGAATTGCTCTCTAGTGTTAATATTTTTTAGTTCATTCCCACCGACAATTCAGTCCATACCTGTTGTGCCTGGTTCTTCATGTTTTTATTTATCTGAAGCTGGGGGGGGGGGGATTGTAAGTCTTTTGCAGCCAAAGAATGTTTTGTTGTTATAACTTGCTCGTAAAGGTATATATATACACATATATCATATATTGGTGTATTGCTGCGGCTATAGAGAGGTACATTTGTGGTGCATTTCTTGTGGATATTTGTGCAAACTATAATCATTATTCTGTGAACAGAAGATTCAAAAGCTTAATTTCCAAATTTGTAATCTATTCCTGCCGAGTAGTGTTTCCTTCCATAGACTCCAGGAATGGTGTTTGTGTGTTGTAGTTGCAGTATTTCCTTTTTCTCCTTTCTTGGATTTAAAGGATAAAAATACTTTTTTTTTTTTTAAAGCAGAATGAAAACAAGCTTGCTTTTCTAGAATCCAGTCATTTTTTTAATGTGTGTATTTCGCTTTTATCTTTAGTGCTGCCTTGAAAAAACCGTGATTGTCTTGTGCTGCTTGAGATATGGTGAAATAACTCATGATTCTACATCATAGAATCCTGTAGTGTAAGCTAATGTGAATGTTCTGTTTAACTTATCTACACAGGTACAATTTTGATCCTGAGCAGTTTGCTGGAAACCAAGTTCCAATCTTAGTTATTGGAACAAAGGCTGACTCTGCTAAGGGACTTAGAGAGAAGAACACGTCGAGATCATTTTCCATAGCAGAAGAGTGTGGTGCTGATGAGTTTAACCTGGTAGGTATTCCACATTTTGAAGTGCCCACCTGATGCTTAGTGAACAGATGTGCAATAAGTTATAGGTGTCCCTTGAGGCTAGCCAAAGTTTTCTCAATTTGGAGAATGTTATACCCCCACAGGCGGTGCCACTGACTGTAGTGTCTTTAGGCCATTCCCAAAGGGGGGACATTTCTCGTTCAAGCACAGTAGAATTGTAAATGGGCTGATTCATCATGTCACGCTCATAACTGTGCCTGATCTGCAACAGGGAACAGCTGCTTTTTCTTTCCTAATCCTTACTATTGTCATTTTCCTCTACTTCTTTTGTATGTTTGTCACACTTTTGTGACCCGCTATTTCCGGGGTGCCTTAATAGTCGAAGCAGATCTTGTGCTGTTGAAGTTACAGAGGTGAGCAGAGTAAGTCTGATTCCCTGTAAGAACTTCTCTGTTGACACCTACCCCTTGGTGCTCTTATGACCTTATGCAGTTGTGAGCACCGTAAAACCCTCTACTAAAAAAAAGAAAAGGAGAATGTTATTATTGTTATACAGTGAAAATCTCTTAAGCTGAAAATAGTTAATCCAAAAATAGTGATGATTCAAAAGTAAACAGAATTCCTGTTTTTTTTGTACTTCTTTGTCTTGGTTGGAGAAATAAAGATTGACTGAAATGCTCGTATTTTCAAACTGAAAAGAATTTAAAAGATTAGGATTTCTAAATCTTCATTAGCAATCCCTCAAGTAACAGATGATCAAGTCTTATGCACTCCAAAATACCGAAACAAAAGAAAGAGACATGAGAACATGTATGTGTCAATTTGGGGGTCAGATAGAGGCATCGCCAGTGTATTGTTTGCCTATGTTTATCACAAACGCATCAATAGGCTTGCACACTGTGTTTTGTGAAACAGGGATAGTGAATGTATGTCTGTCGTACGACCTGTGGTGGGTCATGGCCTTTTGTCTGCTACACATGAGCATGGCAAATGATGTGTCTCATGAATTCACTGGAATTGGACCCTGTCACCTCTCTAGCTGTCAGAAAAGTGAGGTGGGTAATTGGCGGGTGATCTGGTGTGGTTTGCTCCTTCTTTCCTATCAAACATCTATCGTCCTTATCTCCTCTTCTTCTTTTTAAAGTTTGTTACTCTCTTGTAACACCTCTAATCTTCTGGCGCTGATATGACCTTATACAGTTGCAAGCGCCGTAAAACCTTTACTAAAACCAAAGAGAAGTGAGCAGACCCAATGCCAGTGACGTAATGAAGCACATCACTAGCACACAGTACAGTATAGTACAGCATGGGAAAGTGTGCTGAGGCTGATCAACTCGTGCGTCCGGCAGATATAAAGCAAGCTGACTATGTAGAAGAGTAAGCACAATGTGTACACCCTTCACCTTAATTAAATTGGAGTTACAGAAGAAAGAAGGAGATGAGAAAATGTGAAACTAGTGAAGAGTACAGCTGAAGAACCAAGGGACGCAACTCAGTATATATTATAATTGTTGGTATTTTGGTGATTAATTACTTCCCTTTAGTGTACACAATTTAAGCGATCTCTAAAAACCAAATATAATAATGTGACTAAACCAAAGAAAATTGGGCAGTACCACAGGTTGTAATTTAAGCAATCTCCTTTCTACTGAACAAAATCTAACTAGGAACAAAATACAGTTGAACCTGTGGAAGACGGTATTGCAAGGGAACCAGAAAAAAATTCCGTCTTGGACATTTTCCGTCTTAGGGGAACTTAGGGGGTGACGGAGGGGGGTTTCAGAGGCCCAACTGGCGAGACTAGGGGTTCGCGTGTCTGGTCAGCAAGCAGTTTTCAAAACCTCACACCTCTCAAATGCTGTCCTCTCTAGTAATGGCATGCGTCAGTCTTACTTACCCATTGCCACCAATGCTTGCATTTCATAGGACCACTGTTTGTCTATTAAGAACAGAAAAATTTGAATATTTTCTTTTCTTCCACCCTTAGCCCCACCCATCGGTGTAATATGCTCAATCGACCAATGCCACCCGTCAGTGCCATGTAACAACGATTTGTAGAACCCTTTTTCTCAGCTGGCCGTACGATCAGTGTGACATGCATTAGGCGAACTAATTTCACACCTCTGGATTCTGGCTACCTGTTAAAGTTTCCGTGCTGAAATGCCACTCGAGCACTTTCAGAAGCACTCATGAAATTTAATTCCCATACCACCCTGACTGTCTGCACCGCTGAGGGCTCACATGGATGGGGGTTACATCTGCCCACCAAATTGAACCCCTACTCCCCTTCCTTGCCTGTTGGCATGGCGTAGAGCTTAGAGCAGTTGGAACCAAACTTGCGAGTTTTGTTTCAAATCAGGGCTGGGCGTGCAAAACATTTTTCGTCTTAGACAGGTAAAAACTCTCAGAAGGGAGGGGATATATTTTTTTTCGGTTTCCGCTTTGGACAGGTTTCTGTTTTATACAGGTAATTATAGAGGAATTTATCAAGGGGGGAGCGGGGAGATTCTGTTAAGACAGGTTTCCGTCTTACACAGGTTTTCGTTAAGGCAGGTTCGACTGTACTTACTAAAAGGGAAAGCTTTTAACAATGTACTTAAACTAGGGGAGATAGCTTACTCTCAGAGTGAGGGTATTGATGTTTTGCAGTTATTCACCTGTATACTTCTTACCATTAAGTTCTTTAAGAGGAAAAAAAATGAAGCACAGATTGTTTCATCCTTTTTCATTGCATTTCTTTTCCTCTCTAGGACAGCTTACAAGTTAAATACCTTGCTCCTGGATCTACAAATGCTGTAAAGTTGTCAAAGTTCTTTGATAAGGTAATTTGTGAAAATCAATGCTATAAGAGCTTTTTAAAATTCTTAAAAAAAAAACTCTTTCATTCAATGCCAGGCCTGCTCCTTAATCACCCCAAGCTGCCCAAGATCATCTCGGACCAGGCAGTTAAAGGGTTTAAGCCTGTTTTTAAATAATTTTAATATCCTGACTCAGTTTATAGTCTCCAAATATGAATTTGACAGATTTAACCTGTCCACAGCACAGCTTTAATTGTTTCAATTAATACTATGGTACTTAAATATTTTCATAGTCAATCATTTTTTTTCATAGTGTCATACAGTTTTAGCAATATTTCTATACCTTCATCTACATAAATGTTGCTAGTTTATGACAAATCTTTTTGTGTGAAATGTTCGTATATCCTTCTAATATTTTGAAATTTCTTATGGTTTCTTTACACTTTTCATGCGTTTTTGATAATACACACGCACAGAATATTTTCTTCTCTTTCCCCAGGTGATAGAGAGAAAATGTTCCAGCAATCAGGTCAGTAGTACTGGCTTTGGTGGCAACCGCCCAGGTTACGAGTTTGGGGATGTGTAAAATCGTGAGGGGTCAACTCTCTCGTAAGAAAGCGATCCATGATTCCCATTTTCTTGAGTCACTTGGTTTGAATGGTGCTGGGCTTCTTTCTCTGATTTTTTTCTTCATTTTGTTTTCTTTTCTCATAGTTTGGGTGAGTTTTTCTTTTGTGGAACTGAATTAATGTAAAGGTTGAGGGAAAAAAAATACTGTTGTGTAATTCTTTGTAAAGAAGTATGGTATTAGTTTGGTATGATTTTCTTCAATTTCACTAGCTCACTTTTACTTTTTTACTTTCATTCATCCCATATTCTGTTATGCTCAAGTCGATGCACACTGGCACAAGATATGTTTTGAGTTTTCGTCTCTCATACATTTTATCCTCTTTTCATCTGTCTGACAAATGTGGATTTATTTCTCTTAACATTTGTAACAGTACTCTCGTCATGAATGGAAACATAATGTTTATTTTTCATAACATATCAAAAGCTCAAAACGTGACTTCAGTAAAACCTGTGGGTTTAGAATGGAGTTTCTCTTTTTATGATAATTATACAAACTGGAAGGGGAAGAAAGCAGCACTGTAGAATGTTCAAATCTTGCAATATGGTGATGGGTGATGGTCGTCTATGCACGGGGCCAGGGTAATCACTCGTGGACTCGTGTGGTGAGGCAGGGTTATGGTTATGGTTACGGTGTTGTATTTGACTGGTCTGAAGTAGAAAGGCACAACCAAATATTTTCTTTCTTTGGGTTATAGATAAAGTTTTTGTTATTTTGCTGGTATGAAAAGGAAGCATGCAGTTGAATGGTCTAAATGGTTCTCTTTTTTTTCACACACTCTTTTCACCTATTTTTGCTCTTTTGTCACTATGTATAATACCAGTATACATGTATTTATGTCAAATGACTTTGCAACAACAAAAAAAATAAATTCTGAGGGGGTGTTGTGAAAGCAGGCACTCATCATAATAGATCTAACTAAATGGGAGAAAAAGGCATTTTTCCGCCAGTTTGGAAATTTTTATAGAACTTTTATTTTTTGGCTTAACCTCTTTTATGTCCATATAAAAACATATTTCCACGTTAATTTTATTGAAAAACATTGATTAAAGGCACAAAATATGTCATTTTGCAGTTTTCAAAGACTCTTTAGCTATTGGAGTTACCAAATTTTGGTCTCCATTTTCTCGCTAATTTCATCACTGAAACCAGGCGACCTCACTTCCTTAAATCGTAAATATCTTGAGTTCTATTCAAGATAAATGGATATTTATTTCATTTGAAGCAAGGCAAATAAATCAGCTTTCAGATGATACCAATTTTCTTGACTTTTCTTGACCTTGTCTTTGGCAAACTCCACATATTTAGAAGGACAGGCTGTTTTTGATGCTTTTGCTGGTGCCCTTATGTAATTAACTGAACTTTCTCTGGACCCATAATTTTATGTACCTATTCTTTCTCTGCTTTAGCTCTGTCCTACTGCTAAATGTAAGTTTTCACTTGAGGAGATATTTTAAATGCTATTTTATTTTCTATCCACAGGGTCATTCTAGTCCTCTTCAGTCAAGACGATTATGGAAAAACTCGCACAATGATTGAGTCTGTTCCCATTACATTCATACTTATCTTTGTTATCATAAATAATTTATTGAAAGGCCTTTGTTTTTTTGTTTTGAAAGCTTGTGCTTGAATGCAGTGAATCCTTGGGGGCTGGTGCCAGATGTGAGCTAGTCTACGAAAACCTGTCAGGTTGAGAGAGACATAGTATTGAGATATTGAACCAAATGCAATTGAAATTATCCAAGACGGCCACCGATTGTCGAGGTCAAAAGCGTTTGTCTTTGACAGGAGAACAACTTGGATGGTGTCATTTTAATGTTAAAAAAATGCAGGGGGGAGGGGGGAGGGGCAGTGTGATGTTTTTGTTTAAAGTATAAGTGATTGTCTTTGACGGATGGACGACTTGAATGGTGTCACAATTGGGGCAGTGTGAAGTGGTCGTTTGTACAAGTGATTGTCTTTGACAGGTGGTCATCAGAGAAGGTTGAACTGTCGGTTATTAGGGTCACTGAGGTCAGGACTGAGTTTGTGCCATAGTCATCTTCTACAACCATTATCATCATGTCATGTGCAGTGAGTTCATACTCAGATTTTACCCCTGAAATATTTTTTTCTTAATTTTTTTTTTTATGAGGCGGATAGTCCTCTGATTTTGAGAAAAGTAAGTCATGTAGTTGTTTATTTGAAGTAGCCCTATTTTAAACATGGATTCATAATTTTCAGCTGTGTCCTGTCATATAGAAACAGATACAAATATGCCTGTAAAATGTGCATCCTACTAACCCTATCCGTACGTCGTGTTTTATTATCGTGTCCGTACGATGTGGGGGAACTCTGTGCCACCACTTTCCAAAAAGGAAATTTACTTGTTAATCCGATCCGTAGGCTTTGCATAGCAGTCTGTCAAAATGACTTTTTGAGAAATACTGAAAGTTTCAAAGAGATCTTCACTCTAGAAGTATTCTAAAATGTGAAGAATACAACCCTGGTGGTACAAAATGACCCCAGGGCTCGGCTATGGATAGGGTTAAAACATTGCTTAGTCACTTGGTGCGGATGGCGACTGTTCTGAAATAAGACTCACAGCTGGACGATGAGCTTCCCCTCATAAAGACTGCTTTAATGGTACCTTCCAATTCCAACCACCAGCTCATAAAGAAGGGAAGATCACCACAACCACCGTGACTATTGTGAAACGATCACATGTTCCCCTTATTTTTGTCATGTCGTATCTTTTAAATTTAGAGCATTCAACTTGATAAGAGATTGTTTGAACAACTGAGCTCAGATTGACTGGGTTTTACTATTATTCTATGGATAAACAAGAGGGTGGACAAAATTTGTGTGAACTTTAAAAATCTGATTTTTTAAAAATGTTTATGAGATCTGTGTGTTTTTTCCACTAAAATGACTACAACTTCTGTTGTAATTGAGACATCTATGTAAAATCTGAAACACAAAATGTCCAGGTACTCCTCATCTCATCATCAACATACGGTACGGTGGAGTCCGCTTAAACCAAAATATGGGGGGGGGACCGCTGGATTTTCTTTGGTTTAACCGTGTTTTCAGTCTGGAGAGATTGCTCAAGTAGAAGGGGGAAAAAATCAGGGATTTCCTTTTCTTTTGTTTTACTTCTGTGTTCGGATTAACCCTGTTTGGTTTAAGTGAACCACACCATATTCTACTGTTTGTCACTTGATTTGTCAAACTTTTGCTTCATGGTGGGTTTTCCCAAGCCGGCTCACAAATGAGTCCTTTCTCACTAAGCTTGGCAGTGTACAGATATGTCGAAGTATTTGATAATCAGTTTTGCAGTTCAGGACTTGGTCACTTGGGGTTGATATTGTTTCTGTTGAAGTAACTTGAAGTTGTTGTTTTAATAGATAGGGTTCATGATGATGTTGTGCTATAAAAAGAAAGACGCATGTCACCAAAAGTGGTTTTTTTTACTGGAAAGGGATGAAAATTAATATAATTTTTGTCCTTTCTTCCGAAAATTTGTACAGGTTTTACTTATCATCTCTGTGGATAGTGATCAGAATTAGATGAGGAAAGTAATATATATGTATATCACATGACCATAAAGGTCAATTTTTTGTCCTCGTTTTGATTATAAGTGCTTGAACTAAGCCGCTGTGGATGTATGAGATTGAGAAAAAGGGTAGACTTTGACAAAGTTTCATAAAGTATAGACTGAATCGTGACCCGCACAAGAAAGATGAATATCTTGTGCTTAGTGCTGATGCTGTTTAATTCAGTGTAACTCTTTTTTTAACACTTTTTTTTGCCGGCAATGGCGGCACATTTGCTCAACTGTCCATGCTCTGAGCAGTCTCCTTGTGTTCACACTCTTTTCTGTTTCGTGGAAGAAATAGTAAATTCTGACTGCTGATGCTGACTTAGTTTTAGTACGGTTTTACGGCGCTCGCAACTGCATAAGGTCATATGAGCACCAAGGAGTTGATGTGAACAGAGAAGTACAAATTGGGAATCAGACTTACTCTGCTCACCTCTTTAGCCGCAACAGCACAAAGTCTGCTTTGACTATCAAGGCACCTTAGAAATAGCAGTTCACGAGAGAGTGACAAACATACAAAAGAAGTAGAGGAAATATGACAATAGTAAGGATGAGGAAAGAAAAAGCAGCAGTTCCCCCTATGTTCCAGCACAGTATGAGCATGACATTGATAAATCAGCCCATTTACCTACTGTGCATAAGAACATGTTAATATTCCCCCTTTGGGAATGGCCTGAAGACAACTTCAGTCAGTAGCTCTGCCCTGGTGGGGCACACTTTCCTTGCTAAAAATGAAAAAAACCCGGCTTCAGCTTAATTATATTATACATTATCAGCTGATCTATTTTGATCACAGTCAACAAAGCTTCATTTGAGGAAATCCTGAGAGAGAAACGAGCAGTGTGCATTTTTTAACTTGACAGTTTTGGCTGTGTTGAACACCAGTGCTGCACTTTTGACTGAGTTGAACACTATTGCGGCACTTTTGACTGAGTTGAACACTATTGCGGCACTTTTGACTAGTTAGGCTGAACAAGAGAAAGATGTAAGAGCAGTACTTCTGGACTTTTTTCAAAATCATTCTCCCCAATATTATATATTGTCTCTAAAATAACAATTTTGCCTCGACTATTATCCGGTTTTTGACATGTCGCCTCTCTTGTTTTATTTCCTCTGTAAATTATTTTATTTTGATTTACCCTGAGATGAATCATTCACATTTTTTCGCTCGAGATGCTCTGCTGTAGAAGACATATGCCTACTCTCGCTATGAATCAACATCATCCAGACTTTGACTTTGAAAGAAAAGCCTCGTTACACGGTATTCTTTCTGTTTTCCCAACATATGACTATGTTATAATAAGTGCTTGATCTTATTAAGCTATGCAGAATGCCTGAGGCCGAGTAAGTAATAAGTAGAGTAGTTTTTATCATTCCACATGACTTACTTAACTTTGTGTGTTCACTTGTGGTTTATGATGATCACTTTGACTTTGATGGGGTGAATGACAGGTGCAGTAATGAGTAATGCTGTTATTTTCTATCAAATAAAGTCTAAGTGTACATAATATTAAAAATAAAAGCGCCCATGTATAAACAAAAAAAGCTAATTTGTGTCTTTTTTCTCTTTGTGATCTTAAAAATATTACTGTTGTGTCAGTGGTGAGAGAATAGTGTTGGTGTCTTCTATATCAGTTATATATAGACAGTCAAACCTCGTTTCACTGCCCCCTGTTATACTGCCTGAGATTGTGGGTTCGGGGGTTCGAGCCTCAGCTCGGTCCGACATTGTGTCCTTGGGAATGGCACTTTACACGAACTTCCCACTTGGCTCGGTCCTATCGGAGACGGAGGTTAAACTCGGAGGTCCCGGCCCTTAAATAACCTAATAGTGTTGATAGGGGCGTTTAACCCATACTATTTCACCATTTAAAAAAAATAAATTGTTATACTGCCAGCCCTGCTTACCGCCAAGTTTTGTCATTGTACAACAAGGAGCACCTTATATATATATATAAACATAGTTTTTACTCCTTCACTCTGTCATATCATCCGCCAACTGTCTGAGCTGTACAGTCCTTATTTAACTAATATCCGAACTGACCACAGGAGGTACACGCCGCACAACACCCACTGGTTGGCTACTTGATAATCTTTTTTTTCGTGGGTGGTTGGTGGGTACTCTGGTGTGGTTTGCTGCTTCTTTCCAATCAAACATCTATCGTCCTGATCTCTCCCCCTTCATTTTTGTGTAATTACTCTCTTCTTGTAACACATCTAATCTTCGGCACTTATATGATCTTATTGTGTTGCAAGTGCCGTAAAACACTTAGTAAAACAAACTTTTTCCCACAAGAAAGACATAGAGATTGAGATAGAGACAGAGAGAAGACTCTTGGCTCTAAATACACGTGCAGGTATGCGTATACTGCCAAAAAAAAGAGACTTTTTGAACCCAGATCGTACAGCAAAATCATGTTCCTGGATATTACGTTGGCAGTCAGGGCTATGCAACAGAGGAACCCAGGTGAACCGGCAGCCCTGTGGTTCCGCCTACTTCATGCTCATCCCAAGGGTGGCTGTTTAACGAGGTTTGACTGTATGTTTTGTATACACAGTCTAGCATATGACGAAATCATTGGGGTGCAGAAATCTTTTCATCACATACAAATTTCGCTATGTACGTATTTAAAAATAATAATAGATAGCATTTGTATGAATATCGCAAATCCTCATCTCAACAGCAAGCTCTAGAATGCGATTCACAATCTATACTATTACCCCAGCAGACCTGAGAGAATTCTGAAACAACCTCAACTTCCTGGGAAGCATACAGTGCAAGCAGCCATTTATAGGCGCTAAAACACCAACATACTGACAAGATCTTTAGCTGTCTATGGCCGGGTACCCATTCCCACCTGAGTGAAGTGGAGAAAATTTATGTAAAGTACCTTTCCCCCAGGACACAAAGTTGGGCCCGCGGCTCGAACCCCCGACCCCGCAACCTCACAATTATTTATGAGTCTGGTTGTGGTAGCCTAACCACTAGGCCACCGACGTCACAAAGATACTTTATGAAAGAGAAAATTCGGGATTTGAAAATCTGTTCATTATAATATGTGTTTCACTATGTGCATGCTAGACTGCATCTCTCTATGTTCAGTGCTTTGTCTTTTTTTACTGTATGTATGACTATAACTATCCTAACAGTACCGGTACACGTCTGGGGATGAAAAAACATGCGACAATGTTATGGAAGACTTTTGCAGTAGTCGTAGCTTTTGCTGGTA